TATTTTTCTCTATACGATTTGTTTCAATGTTTTTCAAAATAGACATAGAAACGGGGAAGTGATCGGAGATAAGCTCGTTATTGAGAACTTGCAGATTGCGAACAAAATCAAGTGCTGAGTTTGAAATGAATACCAAATCAATAACACTGTCACCATTATGTGAAATGTGCGTGAACTGAGCAGGCCTGTCTAGTGAAGTTCTGCCATTTAATAGAGAGAAACCATTGGTCTGCATGAAATCAAGTATATCACGCCCTCTTGTGTTCAAAACTGCATCCATGCTGAGTCTGTTTTCAAATAAATCAGTATTTTCAAGCAGTTCTATCGGTATTGAACTACAGTCGGCAACCCGACAATTAAAGTCACCACCAATTATAGAAGGAACGTTATGATATTTTTCAAAAGTTTCATCAAGAACTGCTTGAAAGCTGTCCAGTAAATGGATTAAATCTAGAGAAGGTTTGAAATATACAGAATATAAGATGAATTGTATGTTTTTGAAACTACAATGACAGACTATCCACCATGGAGACTTATCAAGAACTTTCACATTTAGAAAAGACTGGTAATAGATACAAAGGCCACCGCTTGCTCTGCCAGAAGATTTTTCTTTTAGGGCAGGAGAGTTAATTACTTTGAGTGTGTCCAGCTCTGTGGGTTCAAATGTCAGCCAAGTTTCACTTAAGCATAACACCAAAAAATTGTCATCATACCGTAGATATTCTTCAAAATTCCCAAAGCCTTGACAGTTCCAAAAAATAATATCGGATGATTGCTATTTCTTGTTGTGGGTTGATGCAGGAGTTTCGTAGGCCTTGGATAATTTGAGTCCATCTTGACGCTTCGGAGACTCATCTTCTTCCCGTACTCGTTTTGATATACCCTTATCTTTCACGGTTGTACTCAGAGGAACAATTTTAGGAATCCTGTTGATGTATTTGATTGTAATATCTTTTTCGCCGTTCTTGATTCTTTGATCCAACTGGGTTCGAAGATCAGCAAGGTGCTTGGATTGACTTGGAGTTGAGTCCGATTTGATGGAGAGCTCAGGATGGAGCTTGGAGATCTTAGATTTATTTCTTAGTATAAGGAGGGCCTCCTCAGGTGAATTCAAACACAGTTTTAGTGGACGAGGCTTATTGTCATTTCTTGGCTTCCCAATGCGAATGGCCGATTTTATTCTTATATTGTTGTTCGGCACAATTTTTGCAAGGATTGTTTCAGAATCAACAAGTTCATCATTGAGATTGGGTCTTTCCGGGAGTCCTGAAACTATAAGATTCCTCTCTCTTCTAATACGTTCCGATATTTCACCCTGTAGATCTTGGATATCAATGCTGGAATCGCGCTTTATGCTAGCTTCTAATGAAAGGACCATATCACGCAGATTTTGATGGTCATCTCGAAGGGTTGCTCTCTCATTCGCACAGTTGACAATAGATTGAGATTGCGTTGCAACCAATCGACTGAGGTCTTCGATTTTTTCATTTGATGCAACCATGCCAACATTGATTACACGCAGTTGTTCCATTATTGCATTAAATTGTGCATTCCCCAGCCCATCACCTTTGGTAGAGCATGGAGACGAAACACAATCAGCGCATATCCACGTGCTTAGCGTGCGTTCCTCCAGGTCAGCAGGCTGTGGGTTAGCGCAGACCCCGTGCCACTGCTTCCTACACACTGAACACAACACTCTACTCTTATCAGATATCGAGATAGTTTTTAGACACGCATGGCAACTGGCCATCTTGATAGCGATTCACAGTATGGTGAGACCCGTTCACGATCGGAAATTAATTGATTAAATACACAGTTCACGAGAACAAATATATTATATCGATAGTCCGAATCAAGATTATGACTGTCTTATAGGGACTAGTAAATAATTTTCAATTTTCAAACTGGATATAGGAACAACTCGAAAATAATTTTGGGATAGCACAGAATAGATAACGTGCTCGCTGTGAACGCCGAGCGTAAACTCCCAAGAACGAACATGGTGACTCGATGAAGTGGGCCATTCACCAATATATGGAAGTGGGGATGGAGCAAAGTGCAAAAATGGAGCTTCCCTCTTAAAAACAAATTGACACGTTGAAACGAACATGATTTTTTTTAGAAAAATCAAGGCCGTACGGACTTCAAGAAATTCTCAAAAATCATATAAAAAATCACTTCCACCCCCAATTTCACGAAAAATTTTTAACTGAAAAAATGAAAAGTCGTGACTGAAAGGGTTAATTATTTAACCGTTCTCGAACAATATATCTACTCGAATTGACAATAAAACGCACAGCGATGAATAATAAAACGCACATACCACATATCGCTATCCGTCAAATTGACAACACTGCCAACTCACAGAAAAAATTTAGGGGAATTCCCTAGGTAAAACAACTTTCGAATTTCTCTCAACAGAGTTGCCATGATTAAAGTCGGGTTGCAACCTGTCATATTCATTTCGAAAATAGGAGAAAATTTCAAATTTTCAAAAGTTCAGTTCGATCGCCTAGCCCCTAGGTAGCTACGCTACTGCAGGTGGGGCGACGTATTATTTTCTATCGCGAATTATCTATCCACTCGCGACATCTTTCTTGTCAGCGACTGTACTTCTTGGTACGACCGGTATGGGTACGACTCACAATAATTCAATGAAATATACAGTTGACGCTTTCTAAAATTCTTTTGATAATGTGAAATAAGTACTTTTCGAAATACAAATGACTTATTATTTCCTGAAACATAAATAAATATACAGGGTGTTTCATAATTGAATGCTGATCCTAAAGAGCGATGATCCTTGGATGATTTTAAGAAGAGAAGTTCATACCAACATATGTCCTGAACCTCTTAGTTTTTGAGTTACAGGGTGTTGAAATCAGAAGCGTACAGCGTTTTTTCAAACAAAACATTCAATATCAGGTCTACGAGGACATCACTGGTAAAAGTGAAAGTTTGATTTTCGTCCCAAAACAAAATGTGTTTCCACTTATAGTGGGTGTCTACTGAATTACCAAAAACAATATCCAAGAACTGAAAGAACAAAATTCTTTGGTTTTTATTTTTTTACGTGAAAACGGTACGTTGTATGAAAGTAAGTCTAAGAACCAAATTTGCTCCAAAATGAATGAGAATTGAAAAAAAAATCTGGTTCTCAGAAAAATCAGTGGCGTACTATTTTTTTTCTTAAAAAATTGTCAGTTCAAACCCCGTACGGACGCCCCTGGTGAGAATTTTTAAATATCTTTCACGTGAAAAAATGCTCCTTGATAATGAAAAGGTGTATACAAAATATCATACCAATATCTAAGAGTGATAAAAAATTATGATGAAAAACTCATTTTTTTCTTGAAATTTCATTACCCTGTAGCTCAATAACTAAGAGGTTTAGGACATATGTTGATATGAACTTTTCTCTTTGAAATCATCCAAGGATTATCGCCCTTGAGGATCAGCATTCAATTATGAAACACCCTGTATACAGTTGTATTTGTTACGTTGCAAAAACCCAATAATTATATCATGGGCATCGAGTTTAGTTCCATGATTTTGTGATTATGATCCGATTCTATTCAAAACTGGTATATAGATATTTTAGGGATCGGGGATTATGATTCCTGATCAAAATTAGGAAATTCAAGATCGCGGATCCAATATGGAGACGAGTTTTGTAATTATGATTCGATTCTATTCAAAGTTGCATGGTATTATGGGGTTTTTGGGGACGGAGATTAGGATTCTTTCGTCAAAATTGATAAAACGGGCGGAATATGGAAATTTGAGATGACGGAACCAATATGACGAGCCAGTTTTGTAATTATAATACGATTCTATTCAAAATTGGTACCTATAGGTGTTTTCGTGATCGGGGAAATTCAGATGGCGGATACAATGTAGCGGACGAGTTTTGTAATTATTATCCGATTCTATATGGAAATGTTTTCGAGATCGAAAATTATAATTCCTTCCTCAAGGTTAGGAAATTCAAGATGGCGAATTCAATATGGCGGAAAAGTTTTGTGATTATATATGATCCCATTCTATTCAAAATTTTCATCTGGAGTCTTAGGAGTCGGAGATTATGATATTCTTGCGTCAAAATCGGTAAATTCTAGTAAACTAAAAAGGTGAGGAAAACAAAAGTTAGGTAGTTTGAATAACTAAAGAAACATGCTTTTATAGATAGCCAAACTAAAAAGAAGTAGAAAAAAAAATAGTGTGTGAGAAATTTTTTTTCCAGAAATAATATACATATATAGCATAACAACGTTTGCGGAATCACCTAGTTGTTACATAAGGTAGGTATATTGTTACAAAATCCTCGATTAGGTGAAAATTCATGATAGGTACCTATACTATACCTAAACGTTTGGTTTCATGTTCGAAAATTTTGCTGATTATTTTCTTCACAAGTCAAAATGTTTCCGTTGTTTCAACCAATATCAATGCTCAATTCTAGCCAATCATCTGGTATCATACTGATAATTTGTTAGTTGTTATAGTAGCAAATTACAGCGATAATTTTTTTCACGTATGGATCTTCGTTCGAAAAGGACGGCCCCATGGACTGCTTTATTATTGGTAGGCTGATTTGTTCAACGAATAAGTCTCTTCGAAGGAAAATAACGCAAAACCGAAGTGTGTGGCTGCAAGAAGTTCGTTTTTGATGGGCATTTTGCGAAATAGTTAAAAAATAATCACGCCGAATTACATTCGTGGTGACTACATCAGCACTCGTCCCGTGCATCTAGCTAACATTATCAAAAAATTACCACCACTTGTGTAATTACTTTTGAAATAAATATAATAATTAATATTCCTGCAGAGGATTTACCGATTTAGAGAAATTATGAGTGCAAAACAAAATTCGATCACGCACGTTACACAGTTTGTGTATTTTTCCACCTCAATGAAGTGTTATTGTTTCTTCAATAATATGACGAAGGTGATGCCAATGGTGGAAATCTTCATTCGAATTTGTCTGTTTACATACTTACATGATATTCTTGGCAATAATGACAATACACTCATTATTTATAAATTGTTAATAACATTGAATTGCACAAATCACTAATGGAAAAGAAAGAATGATTCTTCAACCTAACTAGTAGTTCATTTTATGAGTAAGGCATTTCAGTTAATGGCATGACGTTTACTGATGGTTGTGTATTTCCACTTGACTTGCATAAATAAGAGTGAATCAATTATGCATTCAAATCCTGTACTTAACTGAGTATTTATATTGTATTCGAAAAACTGGATTGACCACAAAATCAACCCACTCACCAACAAAAAGTTGGGTTCATATATTATGATATGGGAATTTCAATAATTTCATAATGACCCATGCGGGATGTTAGATGTTATAGAAAAGCCACTTTCTATGCCGTTTTTTTTTTTTTTTTTTTTTTTTTTTTTTTTTTTTTATCGCTTGGAGCGCGCGAAAGGGAATCCCTATAATGTTCGAAGAACATCGTACGATCCTAGGGAGGATAGGACAGGAGGTAGGTATTGGAATTTTTTTTGAATTTTTGGAGATTATATATGGTTGGGAATACTTCCACAGGCAATGAATTCCAGAGCCTAGCCGTTCTATGGATGAAGGAGTCTTGATAAAGTGCTGTTCGACATCTTTCGAGGTTGACAACGAAAGGATGTGCTGACTGGGCTTGTCTAGTTCGTCTGATTGGTATTGCTAGTGAAGGGATGATAGCAGAGATTTCCGAAGAACATTTCCCGTGGAAGTATCGATAGAAAAGTGAAAGGTCGCCGACCTTTCTACGGTGTTCCAATGATGTCAAAGAGTGAGTGAGTGTGGCGTCACCCACCAGGCGATCGAATGGCTCTTCTCTGGATGGAATCTAAGAGCATCAGCGTATGTTTAGGTGCTGAACCCCATATGTGGGTACAGTATTCTAGAACAGGCCGTATCTGCGCTTTGTAGATCATGAGAAGCTGTTGAGGTGTAAAGTAGCTTTTCGCACGGAACAAGAATCCGAGTTTTTGTGAAGCAGCTTTTGCGATTGATCTGACATGGAGAAGAATATATTTTTTGCAACTTGTTCCCCTAGCTCCATTTACATGGAATAATATTCGTGGTCAGATCATTAGGTGACGTTCTAATGACATTACCAATTACGGGAAAACAACCCAGACAGCACAATGACATCTTAAAGACGTCTTCAAGACGTCGACGCAAGACATTCGGACGTCTACAAGACGTCGCATTGAATCTTAAAGGCGTCCATAAGACATCTTCAAGACGTCCGTTGTTACAAAAGACGTCCGGTCTTGAAGATGTCTTTATTACGTCCAATCGTACATAAACTGGACGTCTTGAAGACGTCTCATGTCTGTGGAACCAATAATTCCACTAAAACTATCAGCAATAATCATTCATTCTGAATCAAAATTGAATATTCTGCCTCCTTTACGATAACATTTTTTTTACTGATAAAATATTGCCGGACTTCAATAAGCCATCTTTAGGACATCTATTTCTTAACTTCTTTGAGATGTCCTATGATAGACGCCTTCAAGACGTCCATTTCATGCCTGTGGACCCAATAACTCCACCAAAAACATCAGCAATAATCATTCATTCTGAATCAAAATAGAATATACTGCTTCTTTCACTAAAAAAAATATTTTTACTGATAAAATATTTCCGGACTTCAATAAGACGTTCATTTTTGTACCTGTGGACTTTCAGACATTATAAATGGAAATAAAACGGACGACGCCTTTAAGACGTCCGGGGCTGTGTGGGAAGACTGACTTTCAATCTATGCCAGGGATTAAGATGTTTTCTCGTAGTTTTTAATGTCATCGCTCATATAAACCAAATATAACTTTGTCAAAATGACAAAATGTAACATGAATAAATACATGGGGTTGAAAAATATGTGAATATATATAGATAGGTAAAAGGTTGATCAAGATGAAGTTGAATTGTTTGATATATCATGCCTATCTTGCCTTTTATTCTCAATTTCTAGAGTATTTGAATAAATTACATTTAAATTTCGAATATATGTTTTCTTCTTCATTGAGCATTTTTTATTTTTATATAAAACATTTCTAAAAATCATCTTTTGGAAGTTTTTTTTTCGGTTGTTATCAAAATCCATAGGATGTCTAGTCATCAACATGTTGAGATGTACAGAGCTCTGAGAAAAAAAAACGGTTCGCTATAATAAATTATTTTGGGTTAATACTTCAAAATATATAATGAAATCAAACGTTTCACTGAAACAGGCCCCTTGATGAATTAACTGCGCTCAATGAAACAAAAAGTACTTCAAGAATATATATTTGAAAAATGTATCTCTAGTTATACCTACTTAGCTATAGTTAGTGTAAATGTAGATCATTTCACAAATATTGAAATTATTACATCACATCAATAAATATTAATCTAAAGGTAAAAGGCCGAGTCACTTCAAGTTGAGGGTCTTCATAAGCAGTTAAGCATATTGTTTGAACAATAATTGGTATCACATTAAAAAACATTTATGCAGTCCTTATATGAAACATTATTAAATCAGTCAAATTTTGTCTTCTTATTTTGCTTCGTTTACAGCGGTTGGCAAGTTCCTCCTCGGAAAAACTGTACACCTGTAAAATATAAAGTTTTTAAACAGGTTGTTCCTTAAAGACATGCCAATATTCGAGGGGGTGATTATTTGCCTTATTTTAAGAAGAAAACTTCATATTAACGTATGTCCTAAAAGTCTTAACTTTTGAGATACAGAGGGTGATGAAGTTTTGAGAAATATTCAGTTTTTTGATAATAACTGAGACAATATAGTATTCATCTTCATGAAATTTGGTACACGTGTTTTATGCATCAAGGTGCATTTTCTGATATACAAACATTTTTATTTTCTATCCCAGTGGCACTGTTACGGGAATATTATTGTTTATATTTTAATTAAAAGTGGGCAACGACAAAAAAAAATTTATTTCATGCAATGTCATAAGAGGCTATTTAATTATGTACAAAAAGATCCTCTTGTTGATACTCGATAGAACGCTTCGTTTTCGAGAAAAAACGGAAAAACGAGACCAGACTTCAAATTTTGATGTCTGAGTACTCCATTCAGGACATCCATTACTGGATAACCTCAGTATATGTAACATTTCGAAACTTGTATACCGATTCAGTCACATAGCAGACTGAATTTTGCCATCACGAAAAGCTATACAGGGTAGACAAAAAAATAATCTGCATATTTTCCACATTGACACCCTATATCTCAAAAGTGAGGACATTTACGACATACATTCATATGTTTTCATTCATAAGTTTTATTCTTGAAATGGGTCGAAGAATCTTTTTTTTGTAATCACAAGAAAAGTGCAAGAACTACAAGAAAGAGGGCAGGCAAAGCAAACGAGACTCCTGGGAAAGCAACTGTGAAGGTATCAACAGTTTACCTGAGGCAGCCAGACTTCACAAGGTTCTCGCAAACACTCCAAGGGTATGTTCACGGCTGCTGCGTCCTACCCGTGGCATTTTCGTTGACGAGAAGGAATCGCTCGGACACTCAGTGTCCACCCACTTTCACGATTCTCTGGAGGTTCTTGGTGAAATAACACCTTCAGCTGAGCCAGACAATCCACTTAGAGATTTCGCCACGGCCAAGGAGGTGGTTACTCACGAGAAGGTCGTATGGGCCATCAATTGTCTTCTACCCTACAAATCGGCCGGAGGAGATGGTATCTTTCCTGCTCTCCTTCAAAAGAGCATGGACAAGATCTCTATATACCTTCCTGGTAAAGATTCACAGGGCCTGTATAGCACTAACTCACATCCCAGAATCCTGGAGAGCAGTACGGGTCGTGTTTATTCCTAAGCGGGACAGTACCGACTACCCCTCTACCAAATCTTTTCGTCCAATTAGCCTCACATCCTTTCTCCTGAAGGATTCTCTAGAAACTAGTGTACCGATACATCCGTGATGGCACCGACATCAGTACGTTTATCAGACTGGTAAATCTACGGGCACCGCTCTCTATCAGTTTGTTGCTAAGGTTGAGGCAATACTACAGCGTAAGCAGTTCAGTCTAGGTATATTCTTGGCTCGAAGGGGCTTTTGACAATGCCCCCTTCGATTCCATGTGTAACGCCGCTCACGAGCATGGAATCAACGACACCATCGTGAGATGGATATATACGGGCCATGCTTACACAGCCACACATAACAGCAAACCCGCGGCACTCAGAAAGTAGCGGTAATTGCACACAAAGGATGTCCTCAGGGGGAGTCATATCTCCTGTGCTGTGGAGCCTAGTCGTTGACGAGCTTCTTCACCTCCTCTCACGTGAAGGCCTATATGCACAGATCTTTGCGAATGACATCGTAGTTCTTGTTGAGTGTCAGTTTGAGCTAACTGAACCACACACCCTAATTCCAAACAAAATACGAAGAGTTTGAACACCTTGGACAACTCAATTCCAGGCTGTGTTCGCCATCCTTGCCCGTACACAAGAAATCAAACGACGCCATATCAGAGGCAAGCGCATCTACATCTAATTCAACAATCAGGCTCTGAAAGCTTTACATGCACCAAGAGTGGTCGGTTGGTTTTGGATTGCAAACGGAACGTTCTTAGGATAGGAAGAGGAAACCGTATCGAACTATATATAGTTTGGGTTCCTGGACATAGTGGAATAGAAGGCAACGAAAGAGCCGATGGAGCAAACTTGGAGAACTACTGACAGAGATGTTCCTCCGGGAATTAACCGAGTCTAGGGGCATGAGGCAAGCAAATATATTCATTGAAAAGCTTTCGAAAAGTCTCATTCAATCCCTCCTGAATATGCGAAGTAGGTAGCCAATTGGTTAACTAACAGGGCATTATTGCTGTCTCAACGGACATCTTAACGTTCTGGGTACTTCTGATGACCCAACGTGCCGTTTATATCTTCAAAACGACGAAACTTCCAGTGGAAAAAGCGCTAATCATCCCGGCTACCGAAATCCTCTCCTTTGGCAGAGCTGCGGAACTGCTGTGGAGGATGCCACACTCCAATGGACCCACATTAGAGATCTAGCTGTCTGCACTTCGACAAGTCCCCCCGACGCCTACTCAATCAATCAATCAGCTATATCATCAGAATACAGTACGCATCTACAAAAAATAATGTTACATACTGTCTGAAGATTAATCCAGGAGGTGGAAAATTCATTTTACCAGAAAGTAGATATTCTGGCGAATATTAGCGATGATATTGATCCATAATGATGTTGTGTTGATTTATCTAAACTATGAATTTGTCTATTTACTCACTTGCTCCACAGGCAGCAGCACACCTCAACTTTGCATTGTTACCATAAGTATTTCCATCTGTACCACAAACTGGGTTGTACTCCGGTGTAGTTCCACAAGCGTTCATGCACCTAGTATAAGAAGCCGGAGCCCTAGTGGTGGTCGAACCAGCAGTGGTAGGGGTGATAGGGGCAGAAGTAGAAACTCCCTGCTGTTGGTTGCCTGTCTGTTGCCAAGGTTGTTGGTTGCCTGTCTGCTGCCAAGGTTGTTGATTGCCTGTCTGTTGCCAAGGTTGTTGATTGCCTGTCTGTTGCTGTTGGTTTCCAGGTCTGTTCCAGGTAGATCCATCGTCGTTCCAATTGCTTCCGGGTTGTTGTGCGTTGTCCAGGTCTTGACCATTGTCATTGTCAAAATTGTTTCCCCACTCAAACTGACGACGTTGGCGAGATGGTAGGGATGACATTCCCAGAACGAGGGATGCTGCAAATTTTTGATTTTACATTTTCTATGTCGTATAACAAACTCGCCCAACCTCTCTGTTGGATTTAAATTTGACTGTAAATACAAATATAATATTAATCGGAGAACTGGACGTCATTTCAATATAATTTTGTTTTGCATTCAAGTAAGTCAACACTTTTTCCCTGGTGATCTCCAGATAATATTCAGTTTCTCGTAAACAACTCAAACATCTTACACGGTGATTTACGTAGGCTACATATTTGAAGTTTGTCAATTTGCAGTGGATATGCTGTTATAACCAATCATTTCCAATGTACCTACCTAAAATATTTTTAGTCCTCCAGCTATACATGGTGTGCCTAAGGTCGGTGCCAACTTGCATACTTTGAAAATAAACTTAGTTTTCTTTTCACACGGTCATATATATTAGCCTTCTAAGTCTACAACTTAAATTAGGTCAACTTATCCCTTACAGATTTCGAGATATATCAATTTTATTTGAATAACTCGATGGAGGTTTGAGTTGAGTATAGGGAATTCTTGAGTATATCATCCTCAATTTCAGTTTTCATTTGATAATCGCCTGTGCCCATATGGTACAAAATGCGACAATCGATGGAACATCAGGAGTTAGCCTGGAGTTTCAGCAAACTTCTTCACAAATTTGGTACTCTAATTTTGAACAGTTGGAGAGATTCTTTCCTAAACTAATATACGACGATAATTATTTTGAGAACAATCGACACAATTATCTCGAAAACTGTGATGGGTAAAGTGACATAAATTAAGTTGTCGGAAGTTGGGCTGTGCGATATTGAAAACTAGATACCGATGTATGCTTTGGTATCGATATTTTATAATGATATCGTTATTCGATAGGTATATCGATAATATATCGATATCTTGCACAGCTTCAGAATAAACAGTATGACTCTAGGTAATAATATACTTATGCATTCAGAGTGAAAAACTTACATGAACATTTATTGCTAGTATTAGCTGAATAAAAAGACATAGTAACTCGATAATTTATCGCTGTTGCCAAGTTTGCCTTTCTTCCGTCAGAATACTCTTCGGGTTTTTGGAACTAAAAAGTAATTATTCTCCTAATGTGATACATTATTATTGTAAAGGTGAAATTATTTACTGATCAGCTGACATTGAATCCAATATGGCGGCCCTAAGAAATAATTAAGTGGATGATGGTTTCAGAAAGACGAAACGTGGAAGTACAAATCTAATCAAACAGTTGAATGATATTATATACATATTCATCTGAAAGAGAATGCAAATTCTGAACCTCAGAAGATTTCATTTTTAAATTCTTATTGTCTGTCGAGTTGTCTGTTCAATAGATATAATTCAATGTTCATCGTGATTATATAGCCAGCAAAGCACTCAGTTGTTTTCTGTTAAATATATTGATAAAGAATTAATAATTTTAACACAATAGAGAATGTAAATTCTCTTAACACAATAGAGAATGTAAATTCTCAATGTATTTCTTCATATCTCGTAACTCCTTATATTTCCAATTATTCTGCGAGACTGCGAATGGGATTCAATTACCAATAAGATTGTCTGAAACTTTCCCGACTTTCCATCTCCTTTAGTTTCCGATATCCAAATACATCCATCAACAATTTTGGACACACTGTGTATCGATACTTTAATTTTTTTAATGATATCATTATTCGACATATCGTTATTCGATATTATATCGTTATTCAATAAATCGATGTTCTTGCACAACCCTATACAGGGTGATTCATGAGGAGACTCACATAGCCAAATGGTGAATAGGGAAAATCAAGGCGAGTTGATATACAGGGTGATCCACGGTGGATAGCCTATCAGATGTATTTGGAGAACGAAAAGACAAGAACATTCTGAAAATCGGGATGCTTTGATAATTGAACATTATCTATCCGTCTAAAATATTTCCATCGATACGGTGTGCAACTTCTATCAGAAACAACTAGCAACTTTGTTATTTCAAACGAAACACCCTGTATTTTATTGCATTTTCAGATTCTTCCTGAAGAGCTGATTTCATCAATGCATCACACTTAGGGTCTAGCGGGAATGATTACAGAGTTATAGGGTGTTCAAAAGCGAGATTTTTCAATTTTCGGATTTTTTTGTGTCGAAACTATTCATTTTCGATCAAAACGGCTTACATGTCTCTATCTTAACTCTAGATTCACTATCTACTGGAATTTAATTGGAAAAATCAGCTCTTCAGAAAAAATCTAAAAATGCATTGAAATACAGGGTGCTCCATTTAAAATAACGAAGTTGCTAGTTGTTTCTAATAGAAGTGGCAACACTGTATCGATGAAAATAGACGGATAGAGAATGTTCAATTATCAGACCATCCCAAGTTTCAGAATGTTCTGTCTTTTCGTTCGCCAGATACTTCTAATAGGCCATCCACCGTGGATCACCCTGTATATAGGGTGTAACTAAATAACACCGAAAAAATTCGAGGGGTGATTCCTTGTGATATTTTAGGAAACGTTCACTTTTTGATCACTTTCCTCGAACAATTTAATCAGATTCAGAATGATCAGACTAACTACCATAAGAACTGCTCTTCATCGGTCAAACCGAAATTATGGCGTAGAGCTAGTAGATATGTCAAAAAATGTCAATTGAACTATTATTCACAACCCTCAAACTTCGTTTTCATTACAGACAATAAGAAAAAAGTAGTAGGGGTGAGCCATATCTTATTAGAAAATCACCCGGTAGGTATATATTCCGAAGATCCTTGAAGAATACACCCAGCGAGCACAAAAACATCTCAGAGATGTCAAAAGTACGAGATTTCGAGACATTGAACCTCCACTGCGATGTTCTGTTCACACATGAATAGAACTATTATTGAACAGCCAATGTCCGCCGCAGGCGGCAATTATCGAGATGTCCTTGATATGTCACAAAAGTACCTTCTCCCTAGTTTTTTTTAAAGCCTTTTCGTGGACACAACAGAACATTTTCAACGCGTCTTGCGCCTTTTGTCAAAATGAACTTTTGCATTAGGATTCCATTTCCCTTGAATGAAAAAATGCATTAAAAATAGATTGAACATAAAAATATTTTCTTGATATGAAATTACCTTCTTAATCGGTTTCTGAGTAGTGCTTACTACACACAGACATATGTATAATTGGAAATAGGTTTCCCAATTTTTGAAATGTTCTCCACAATGCATAATTTTGCAACTGCGGAGAAGCTGTGTATTGATGAATTCGTACATTTATATATTGGTAACACTGAGGCACCGAACAACACATCTTGCATCTGATGGTCATTATTACAAACTAAATAAGTCTTCTAACACAATAAACTTCACCAAATTCCTTTCTGGTCGTTAGCAGCGTGATGTAAGCGTGACACGCTGCAAACGCGAATGCCAATTGCGAACAAGAAGAACAAAATCGAAAACAAATCAGAATTCATCGTATTGTGACGTAAGCATGATACGTTGTGGTGGGGCAAACAAAGAAAGGGCACAAAAGAACAAAAACAATACTTTCAATATCCTTCTAAGACCTCTTTGGGAAGTGCATATATTACGCCTCAAAAAAACATCCTCATGCCTACATTTCTAAAACATCTCAAAACATCCCAGGGATACCTCTCAGTAGGCAAACAAAGAAATGCCACAGAAGAACAAAAACAATACTTCAATATCCTTCAAAGACCTCTTTGGTCAGTGCATATTACGTCTCAAAATAACATCTTCATGCCAACATTTTCAAAACATCTCAAAACATCCCAGGGATGTTTGTGTTCGCTGGGCATGAGATAATGAGATATAATAAATCGAAAGTAGTGATTTTCTCTAAATGAAATTGGTCCACTCTAAAAGGTTCTCACGCATTTTTGTGTTCATGATGATTTTGAAACCATTTTGTGATACGAAAGAAACGTGATGGCCATCAAGTTTGGTCATTTTCATTGTGAGTACCTACATAGCATATACAGGGTGACATAGAAAAAAGTACATTGCATAGTGCCACCGTTGATTGATATATTACGCTTACGCTGGGAAGATGCCCAACCTGTGTTATTTGCGAGTCGATGCCCCTCTCATCCCCTCGTCTATCGTTTAGCCAGCAATTTTTGTTTATCCTTGTCTTCTACGATGAGACCCGACCCGCCCGACCGGTTCCGATAAAAAAATGTTTGATACGGTCGGTGAATCCCATGGACAGTATTGATTTTTCCCTCGGTTCCTTGCGGAAGAGAGAAGAACATTATTATGATCTCTCACTCAGTTGGGTTCCTACTCCGTGGCGTTTTTTAAAATTCCCTTGTGAATAACTTGTCATACTTTGCCTAAATAGACCCTAGAGACCAATATAATTTGTATATCTGGAAATACATCCCACGCCTTTTTCGTTTATAATTATTTTTACTCAATTTGTATCCATTTTGAAGTTTTATATTAATAAGACATTACAAAATATTGATAATATAATCAATCTGAATGTGATAATTTCTTAGAGTCTCATCAGTAGATAGAAAATAAATAGTCAGATATCTTTGAATCTTTGATTGTTAATGGTTCACTATAAAAATGAAATAAAATACATCATCTATGATAGGCATATAATATACAGAGTGAGTCATAACTATTGGAACATAATAATATATAGAATTCATTTATTTATTGGATTACAAGAGTTGATGCTGCAAGCTTATAAACCATTTTTTACATTATCTAGTTGTTGAAAGATATGAATTCTTTTTTGGTATATTTGAAGAGATAAAAACAAAATCAACAGAAAACAGCTACATTTCCAGTCTAATATGCCACGATATATAATCATGAAATCGGCGTTGATATTTTGTGATACCAGTAACTTTTTCTGAGTAGAATCGATTTTGCCGCTCCAGAACAACGGAGTACAGACTACGGAACGCTCAGAATCTCCACCCTAACAACACAGGAATGTACTATAGGTACTTCCCCTCTTTGTCACACGGTACAAGGACATAATTGGGGTATCCAGGGGATGTCCCGCAGTGGTTGTCCAGTGGACATCTGGCCCCGAACATCCATAGGTTATCCAATTCGTGTCCTTGGTATATCTGATATCTATTAACATCAGAGTCATTGACTTTCATCAAAATATTGAGTTGAATTTTTATGAAAATGTTTGGTTTTCTTCCGGTAAATAATTGTAATGAAAATAAAGAAAGTCAGAACTTCTCAAGAAATGACCATTTTTCGCAAACAGAAATCGTAAATGCATAATGCCCCTCATTTTTAAACATCCACGAATGATAAAAATTATACCCAAATCCTAACAAAGTTGTATTTATTCAGGTTCCTGCAGTTTGGTCCTGTTTAAAAATCTGTTTGGTACATAACTCTTCAGAAGGCATATCAGCCAATGGAGTATGGTGGGTGCCTGAAAAAGCTAAAGGTCCCGGGTTCACGCCCTACTCGATACCTACATTTTTTTCTTTTGTCGAAGGTCCCTGGAATATCCTTGGGACCTCCTAGGGATATCCTTTCTTCGTACTTGGTACATCCCATGGACGGAAATCCCTTGGATGCTTTTTTTGTTAGCCAGCTGATGTCCCTGGGACGTCCCTAGTATATGTACTCTGTCCCGACAAAGGATATCTCTGGGATGTCCTTGTATAATATTAGGGACGTCCCTGGGAAGTCCCTAGGATGTACTTGTGTTGTTAGGGCGACAAACGACGGCTTGGCAGCCCTATCGCCGAGAAACGCACCGAGTCGGCCGCCCCACAAAAATCAAAGGAAATTATTGGCACTCCAAGTTTCGGCAATACATACGTCGGATCATATACCAGTATAAAATACTTTGGATTGATAGCGGTATAGAATTGTCACGCAATGTTCCGCGTTTTTCATGTGATAAATATCAGTAATTTCAATAATAAAAATTTCAAAATTTGTACATAGCTCTGACAAGAAAATGATTTGCGACAGTGAATTATCGTTTGATTTAGTAATTCGACATAATGAAATATGAAATTCCACTCAAACAGACCCATTTAGATTCAGTTCTAGGGTAAAATACACTAATGTGACAACACTGGTCCGGATTCGTGAATTTCAATCAAATTTATGAGCAGCTTATATATTGATATCCGCTGACCAGTTTATTCCACAATCGCCAAAAATGGAAGCATTTATTGTTGAGACATTAAATTTTGTGATTCACTCCAATTCTATTTCTATAAACTTTTTTCATGATCTCACGTCCGTGATGCGCTCGTTAGAAGCACATCCAGTACAACTATTACTAACAAATTCGAATTTACCGCCATATTAGTTAGAATCCTACTGATTGATCATGGATTCGATATACAAGCGTTCCGGATTATGGATTGTCTAATTGTTCCAAGTCGCACGCCATCTGCATTCCAATAGATTCTCTTCGTAAGTGGCGCACCTGCCCGTCAAATTACGAAGTATTGCTCCGACATCGTTCGACACTATCGCCGCCACTATGTGAGATTTCGAACTATGGTACGCCATCTAGTTGTGAGATTTTTTTGGACCTCGTTTTGCCCCATAAGGTTGGGCATCTTTCCAGGGCGTAATATATCAATCAATGGGGTCGCAAGGCCTTCGGTTAAGAGATACGGGGTGTTGAATTTTAATGGAAAAATGTATTGAACTACAAGGGCAACAATTTGAACATCTCAAAACTTAATATTTTGTTCTTAATCATATTTTTCATCATACCATTAAAATGTAATTGTTGAAGTATTTATCATTGTTTTTGCAAAAGTTATTTTGGCGCTTTTTGAATAATTTGCGTGCATTGTCGGCTTTTAGATGCATTTGTACTGGAACCAGGGCCGTCTCTAGCGGGTGTGCGAGGTGTGCACAGCACACCATCAGGCCAGAAAGGGGCGCCAAACGTAAGGGAAAACGATAGAAAAATTCCAACTTCCAAATTAAAATATTCATTGAAAAATTGACTAGTTCCATTCCAAACATCAAAACATGCCGCCGAAAGCAAAGGGGGTCGGGACAGGAGCGTTAAAAACAAAGTAGGGAATATAATATGAGTTGGTTATCTTTCGTGAAATCCTTTGTCGGTACGCGCCCGATTCCATAATGCGTTTGATGCAGTCCCGATTTGGCCAAATATGTTTGCTCACTTTACAGCAGGAAGCCGGTGGCAGCGAGCAATATATTCGCAATACGTCTTTGAAAGCCTCCCACATAGATAATTTCATGTAGGGTTTTGGGTGGGGTGGTATATTGGACAAAGTTCATGGAATATTGTCATTGACATTGTCTCTTAATCTACTTCAGTGATTCAGTTCGTTTCATGGTCTCCAGTGTTTGTGTTCCATTAAAGAAAAAAAAAACTAGGAGTGGAAATATAAAATTAAGTATAGTGACTGGAAATATTTCATTTGCGTAGCCAATTTTATCATGAATTCTATGAATTATAGGAGAGGAAATCTAAAAAATTATCTGGAGCACAAAATTGAAAGAGGCTGTTATGTACTAGCTCTTCACAAATAATTTAGTTCATTTGTTTTCAAATTTTACGGTAGCTTTGGGAATTTTGCTAACACTGCCAGTATCTGTTGCAACAGGAGATGGATCTTTTTATTAAATTGAAGATAATAAAAAAATATTTGAGGTCGACAATGTCCCAAGAAAGATTATCTAGTTTAGCAACTACATCAATAGAATAAAACTTATCAGATACTTTGGATGTAAGCGATTTAATTAGAGTAGAGTGCCATTTTTGTGAATTGCAATATCTCCTTGTGTGTTCATTATATTATAACTCACCTGAATACTCTCTGTTGATAAAATATGAATTCATTTCTAGAGTTTCTCGGCTCTGGTTGTTTATTTCAGAATTCAATTTAATTTTTATATATGTTAATGATTTGTTAAATTGAATAATCATTATACATAAACGTATGTATTCATTTTTGAAAATTAAACTGTTGAAAACATCAAATAGTTTGATTTTATATTTTTTTGTGTCAGCTTTCAGTTTGTTAATTCAATAAACTCCAATAGGGGCGCTATTCTGGGATTTGCACACTAGCAGACAAATCTGTAGAGCCGGCCCTGACTGGAACCATTGCTTCTAGCGACCTGGACAAGGTATACCTTTCCTAAGTATAAAAGAAGGGATAACAAATTTTTTCCGTCGAAAATGACATACAGTGTATAGTCAAAAAGTTACGACCGATTCAATAGGGATGGAACCCTGTATGTAGCGCCCTCTATCAGTCATCACACAACTAAGATCATATTTGAATTTAGCATGATAAAAAAACCCTGTATACCACATTTCATCCATTTCTTGCGTCTCTGGCTAAAGATATTCAAAGAAAACCCAAAAAAAATTAAATTCAACACCCCGTATCTTTTAACCGAAGGCCTTGCGGACCCATGTTCATAGGAATTTTTTTTCTTATTTTAGTATCCTCTATTGTGTGGCACTATGCAATGTACTTTTTTCTATGTCGGCCTGTATAATATAAGCATATATCATTAAATTTTCTATCACAACATTATACAATCATGACTTTACTGATTTGTCGAAAAATACATACATTTTCCATCATACATTACATTTACGATTTATTTGAGTTGTCGAAAAACAGAGAAATTACAAAAATTTGGGCATGTTGGTTTCATGAGGTGAATCAATTCACTTCTATTCAATTCTATGTCCTGAAATTGACCAATCAACATTCATTTTTGATGAAAAATAACTTCGAGTACCTGCTTTTATTCTAAAATAAGGTAACAAACTATCGAGCAAACTATCATAAAAAACTCACCAATTATAAGGATGCAAATGGAGCACTTCATTTTGAATTCTTGTTTTTCCCACAACACACACTATGGTTCTTTTATCTGTGGCAGCTATTTATCGTGCTGAAACATTAATACGAAACCCATTTGTTTATTATTCGTCTTATTTAGTCCTCAAGTGGACTGACCACTCTTCCTTCCACGTATCTCTAGCTGATGTCTTCCTGATCATAGACGTACCTATATACAGGGTCGTGTCTCAACTTTATTTATACACGTATTTTCTCGAAAAAAGGTGACATTCTCAATAACGTTTTGAAGAAACTCGCTCGAATGAGAAATGAATGATGTTGCACAAAAATTAGTCATTAAAACTACTAAACTACCCTTCGATAAACCCCCCTTTCAGCACGTGCCATGCTAACTTTTTTTTTCAAAATTCACCCCCATATTATTAGTATTGTATGTTTGATTAGTTTATTAGCTTACGCACGATATGATGTATCACACTCTCCACGAGTAGGTACGCCCTATATGATGTCAATTCAACAACTTCCCAGAAAGCACTGGATATTCCTCGAATATTCTCTAAAAATGCTAAAAGCAGAAGTATATTCCGAATATCCACCGAATAATCCTAGTATATATACATACCTCTGGAAAATCCAAGGAATATTCCCGTAATATATGCCAAGGTGGATTGCTCAGGAAGTATTCAAGTATGAATGTTCCCGGAATATTCTCTACTGAAAATTCTGTGTTGTATATTCATGAAAAGTTCCTTGAATATCCCCATGTTTCTCAACATTTAGAAACATCCATTATATGTTAGGAGATTTTGGAACGAAAAGTGTTCATGATCTGATTCTGAACAATGCTCTCACAAGACATTGATGGTCTGCAAGTCGAGGGTTCGATCCCATGTTGTGATGCACTTTTTCCTCATTGGAATATTCTTTGAACATTCAATATAGAATATTCTTTTAGACATATTCTATGAATATCTGAGGAATTCCCATTCGCATATTCAGAGAATATTCCACGAATATTCCAGATTATTCTTAGGATATTCCAATATTCCACAAGGAATATCTGGTGCTGTCTGTGTTAATAGCATAGGTATCATGTAAGGTATTTTGTCCACCATTATCATAAATCTAAAGGCGGAATCAGGCGACTAAATATAACCAGTTTGGGGAAAACTGGATTGCAAATATTGGCCCTATATACGATGGCCAGCACGATCCCCAGATTCATCCCCATTAGATTTTTTTCAGTGGGATCATTTAAATCAAGATGTACATAATATATATATATATATATATATATATAGTGGCCCTGTACGAAGCCTATAACAGTGCAATGGGGTGGATTATCGAGAAATTGTTTCAATAACTAATTTTACATCAGTCGTCTGATTCCGCCTTAAGATTCATGATAATGGTATACGAAATTCCTAATATATGATTATGCTATTGAGTTGTTGATTTGACATTACCTAGGGCGTTTTCTTGGAGAGTGTAATAGGTACATCATTGTGTTCAGTTCAGTTTTTTCAGAACGTTGGAAGTGTCACTCGTTTTCGAGAAATGCGTGTATGAATGAATAATTAGTACATAGATAATCAGAGTATATACAGGGTATTTCCGAAACTGCGAACCAATATCTAAAATTGGGTATAGTATACACGAGACATATATTGACGCAATAAATCGCGCGAAAAAGAAATATCCTTTGAAGCAATCAAACATATTCGAAAATTGTATATGCTTATTTAATTTATACCATATCTCATATGACTCGATTAGGCTTCTATGAATCATCGTAACATCCTAGTATATGACTCTACCACATTCGTCTATTCATGATTTACAGCAGGAAGCAGCATAATGTAAAAAATAATGCAATGGCACTATATGATTTGTTCCAGTCATTTATAGAAACCCTGTGTCATTGAATATTGAATGTCCGGCAACATTGCGAAAGTCAATTATTTATTACACTTCCAGTACCTCTTGCCTCGCCGAAAACAACGTTCGAGTTCAACTTTAAAATAATTTGATTTATTATTATTATAAAACCGTCATACTTTTTTTGTTACACTCACTATCATCCAATTTTCAAATGGGATATTTTGTTTATATCATTTCATGATAGGTTAGCGATTCTCATCATCAGGGAATAAACTATATGGTTATAGATGGAGATTGGATATGTGCCAAGGAATGTGAAGAGTCAAATATTGAGAGTCTGTCATTTTTGGTCCAATTCGCGTAGTCAGAATAAGAAGTAGAGTCATATCTAGAAGGTTATTCAGTTCTAGTTATTTCACTACACATACCCATCGGGAATTCATTTTCTATACCTACATGACAGAAAAGGATGAGTTATTCCCCTGGAGCATTCAACTGCGACTCATAATATCAACAACTGAGACAAAACAGAAGTTTTCAAAGAATATTTCAAAAGAATATCTTCATTATGTATAGTACCTATAGGTACCTACCTATAAATGTATATGAATTGTTCGAAAGAATAGCAATTTGGGAATCATACGAAGCCATTCTGAATTCGAATGAAACGCACCTAGCAAAATTGTTCTTAAATTATTTATTATTATTAATTTTACTGCAGAACAATAATTCTCGAAGTTGTTCTTCGAATATATATTTTGTGACACCGGCGTAAGCAAAAAGTAGCGTGCTTTAGGGACTTGTTCTGCAAGCGCATACGCCCCTCGAGTTATTTGCTCATGATTTCAGGCCACCCTGTATATGAATGAAATAGTTTTGTTGTTGTAGGACTACGTGAAACTTGGTATCGAAATGATCACAAAGTCAGTTGCAGCGAATATACATTAATATTCACCTAGGTAGGCAGGTTATTATATTTATAAAGAGACACCACTGGAATTCTTTCTACATCTTCAATATCACTTATATCGTCTGGAAACTTCACAAGTAATCTCTTGTTTTTATTCTGCATTGGTTGACGTATTTTAATCATCAAACAGGTTTATCACATATTATTGCGTGGTTCATTTTATCATATAAATAATGTGTATTTCCAAGTTTACCATTTTCGAGATGTTTCCTTTGGGTATTTCGTTATCACGGCATTGAATTCGATTATCCAAAATAGATAAACCCATTATAGATTATTAGGAAATCGCGGTATTGGATCATAACATACCTATAAATATGACAACGCGTGAACCAGAAAATTAAAACGAGACTGTAGACAACAAAAAACTAGCCTTGATGATGTAGACTGTAGAGGTATAATTTTTTGTACTCTTCAATAATTGCACGAACGGGAATATTGGTATGAGGACAGGAATAGAGTATATGTATTGATTTTTTCTTCGAAGTTTGGGAGGTAATAATCCCAGCAGGTCGGATTCAATAGGACACCTAAAATGAAAAAAAAAAAAATAGTAACCGGGCGGCGTGCTTCGAACCTGAGACCCTGAAGCCGGGGTCTTACCAACTATTATATGCTATTTCTTTTCTGGTTAAAGGACCCCGCACGAAAACACGGTAAATTGGCTCTCGGTCGAATTGGCTGAAATTTGACTATGTTGTTGTGATATGGCTCATTAGAAATATTTATGAGTTTAAAAAGTTTTGTATGTTTAGTTTCTGTGATATAAGCCGACAAAGTTCGTAAAAACGTCGTATCGGGGGTAGGATTGACAAAAAAAACTGTTTTTCTAGTATAAATGAATCAAAATGAGCTAGAAAATGTATTGATCGAAACTCATGAATATGTCTAGTTATAATCACATGAATTAAAGTAAATCAGATTTCAAAATAATGTAATATCTTCTCAATATTGATTCGTCCCTGCTTCTGTCACAGAACCAAATAGTGTATTATACACGGGAAACATATTAGATTTTAGCTTACGACAACACAACCTGGAGCTAAAATCTACTACTTTTTTCCCTTGTATAATAAATAACTATGAACATTCTATTAATGAGATCTGGGATATATTGACAACGTAGAGAAAAAAAAATCTGAAATATTTTCAGATTTTGAATAACTCTGATAACAATAAGGAACAAAGTTCAACATTTTTCGATATAACTGAATAACTAAATGATTTTGAACATTTTCGAAAGCTGCTCTGGATACGCAACTTTTGCCCCACTTAACCGGTCACATACATCAACGACTAATAATTTATGATCATCATAATATAATTACGATTATTAATACCCAAGAAAATTGACCTGAAACTTGGGGGCCGGTCAAAGAAAATGCCCGGTAGGAAAATAGTAGCCAGTCCGGGCCTGCGATATTGGCATTAATGCTTTCACTTGATCTATGTCTGGTCATATTTTCTCATTCATTGAATATATTTGACTTCCGTTGCTCATCTTTCAGTAATGATTTTACTGACTTCTTCAATGATCACATGGACTCCAAATGTACAGAGTACAGCTAAGATCGACTGGAAGCCATCTGTCACTTAATGCAGGAGAATACGTGTCTTGTGATTATAGTTGTGAGATTGACTCACTATACTACTACTACTAACAGAAGTTACCGAGTGCTGTTGATGCCGATAGATTCTGACAATAGTGATGTCGTTAATTCAGGCTATAAGTTGCTTGGTTCCATTACTTTTACAAAACAGAGTCTTGAGAGTTTCATTGTAAAAATCAATTTATTGAGCTGAAGATTTCCACGAAATTGAAATTAGTGCTTTTCTTTCATATCAAAGTCATGTCTTTGAAAAAGAAACGCTTTCAACAACAATTTTTTTTTTGTATTGTTCTTGAATAATTCTGACTTCCGTTGCTAAACTTCCAGTAGTGATTTAACTGACCTTTTCAGATTCACATGAATTCCAAGAGGAGAAGGTAAGACCGATGCTGCTTTGGTAAACAGAGTACAGCTACACTGAAAGCCATATATTATTCAATCATACTGTCCAATCGACTTGATATAAGCCTAATATATTATATACAATATACCTAATTGTGAGTAAGTATACGAAAAAAATTAAATAAAAAATATCGTTTATTGTCCAAACAGGAATACACCCACTTAGGAGACATATACAAAGAGACATATATAACAATACAATATATATATCTATATATATAACATTAGTTAATGCGATCGAGATTTCATTCAAGGTGCCAAGAAGTAAATAAAGTGACAATATAGAATAAATTAGCTCTAGTAATAAACTACCTATACTTATGGGTTCTATCAATGA